GTGTAGTCAATGAAGCACTGACTTCTCATTTCAATTCCAGATATGAGAATTTCTGAAATTCTCTTGTTTTTACTATGATCCAACAGATGTTGGGAATTTGTCTCTCGTTCCTCTGCCTTTTCTAAATCCAGCTTGAACATCTGGAAATTCTCAGTTCACGTACTGTTGAAGCCTAGCTTGTAGAATTTTGAGCACTACTTTGCTAGCATGTGAAATGAAAGCAGTTGTGCAGTGGTTTGAACATTCTTTCGCATTGCCTTTCTTTGGGACTGGAATGAAAACTGACCTTTTCCAGTCCTATGGTCACTGCTGAGTTTTCTAAATTTGCTGTGTACCCTAGGGAAATTTAGCCTCTTTTGAGTTTCTGATTTCTCACATGAAGGATGGAGATAACAGGATTAAATGACATGACAGATAAACATGCCTAGTACAATGACTGGCTCATAGTAGGTTCTCAACAAACAGCAGTAATAATTACTGTAGATAATGATGATAGTAATTTCTATCAGTATTAGCATTGATATTGGCATCAGTATTATTATCATATTGCGGCAACAGTTCATGTGAGTGTTGAATTTAGATTTTCTAATACGTAGAAGTTTCACACTTCCTGATTAATATTTAATAGTCTGTCTTTCATCCACAAAGCTTTGCTTATCACTCAGTTGCATTGGTTTTGGCCAGCCTGTGATTTCTCTGTCATGAGAAACAACACTAAAAGTACTAGTTATAAACATTAAACAGAACAAGTTGTCCATTACTTGGTTTATAAACAATTTAATAAGTGGGAATTATGGATAGCCTAGGCAGCACTTAGCAAGATGTTTTAAAAAATGAACGGAAGCATTTATATCAAACTGTTGAAAGTTATTGCCCTCAGAAGACAGCATTATAGGTGCTTTATTAATCGGATGGAGGGAGGTAGTACAATTTCTCCTTATAATGTTTACTTGAAGTTCTCTAAAGCAGATGATATTGATTTGAGCTTTTCCCTACCTTCATGGTTCACACATCACTGGAAATCAAGTGCTTGAAAGTCCAACAGTTGACTTATATATACTGAGGCAAGTGGTGGTTCCAGTTCCTAAGAACTTAAATATTATAAAATCTTTAACTATGGCCCAGCAGGTAATGAGAATATTCCTTTCTGCCTTGGCTTGGGTGGAATATAATTTCTGTCATGGACTGGTCCATCTGGTCAAATGCTGCCTTTTTCTGAACGCTACCTTATAGCTGATGCTTTCAAGGAGCCCATAATCTGTAAAATTATCTGTGACATTCTGGTGATCTGGAGCAGGGACCGGAAGAAAGAGCTATTTTCCTATTGCACCGCAGTAGTGTCCAAAATGGCACTGGCCCGCTGACGTCCGCCTAGTGCACTCAGCGGGTTCTGGTGTAGAAAGGAAACAGGGATAGGGCTTGACGAGGTTGGAGGGCGAGTGTGCAGGACAACGTGGGTGGGGTGGGGAGTAACAGCCACTTCTTACTATTAAACTATTGGGCCAGATGTAACTCTGGATTCCATGGTAATATGCGTGCTTGGGGTTGAGAGTAACTCTAAGATTGATCCTGAGGGTCAGGGGAAAGGGAGTGTTTCAAGGGGCATGGGCAGGCACTGCTCCTATTGCCATTCTCTATGGAGCCTTGGCATCAAGCTGGGTCTTTCTCCCAGGGGCTGGGAATCATGTGACAGCTACAGATACTTCTTTGAAAAGAAGTTATAAGATATCACTGTACTGTGAATGAAAGTGAAGGTATCTTGAAATTCATTCATGAAAGGATGACTGCTTATATTACCAAGGCACTTTCTCAAATTATTTTTTACAATCAATTGGATTTAAGTCTATACTTGTAATATCACTACATTCACCTATATATCCACATGCTTTCTTGAGTAGGTGAGAAAGTAAGAAGACTGGGGATTTTACAGTGCTCTGAATACTCCCATGGCGGTATGTCAGGCACAAGAAAGTCAGCATTATTTGGAGTGGCTGTTTCAAATAATAAAAGCCTTCTCTGACCAATGATTTTTTTCTATTGGATATTCTGTCTTTTGAAAGAAAAATTAAGGTTTATGAAATTTCCAGTATCACTCATATAAAATTATTAAGCTGTGGGTTTCAGCCTTCCTCCTCCTTTTTCATCACCTTAATTTTTTTCCCTATTACTACACTGTCAAGAGAACAGATAAAAGCTTCTTGGGTGAATTCTTGAGAAAAAAAAACCAATTAGAGTGGAATAAAAACCATGGGGACCTAGTGGGTGAGAGAGTTATGTCAGTGCAGGCATGTGAGAGAACCTTGGAAGCTGGGGGATAGTAGAGAAAAGGAGATACAGGGGAGTTTAATAGGAGCTGCTGTGGATTATACTCTTAGACTCCTTCACCTGTTTGAGATGTACATGGGAGGACAGACTGCAATTCTGTCCTCTGCTCCAACACGTCTCCTTAGTCTAACATCACTCGGCGAAGGGAGACTAGATTTGGAATTTTGGGGATGGAGGGGCAATGTTACGGCTTTGTAAGCATAAAACAAAGCAGGCATCCTGTTGCTAACACTGCCGTCCTTCGACCTACCACATCTCTTTACCCCAGGCAGCCTCAGTGCTCTAGGATCAGGGTGGGTGGATGGCACTGGAAGTGAGGGCATGGAAATTGTTAACTCAGGCTGCTTTGAAAACAAGAATGCTGATAAAGGTTCAGGCATGATACCCATATAACTCTGGTTCCTTTTGTTTTCCAACAGAAGTATACTGAGAACAAAATCTGTAGCATATATGTCTTTGTCAGAAACAAGGAGAACAAATCAGTCAGAAAGACTTCCAACTGGACCCCCAAAGATTAGCGTTTAGAACTCAGTTAAAACTGCTAACTTTCTATAAAGCCCAGCTCCTGGCCGCCTGTGATGTGCCATCACAGAGCCTGCCTTTCTCTGGCCTTATTGCACATACCCCATTAAACCACAATGCCTAGCCCTCAGATACCAGCCCTCATATGGACTTGACCTCTGGATCATTTGTACTTTTTGGTATTTTCTCATCTTAGAGTCGTTATCATTATTTCCCAAATATTATGAACATTTATTATCTTAAAAAAGCAGGGAAGAATTCTTTATCTGCTTTTCTTCAAAAAGAAGGCTCTTACCTGCCCGGTTCTACAGTCATAGAACAGTCAGAGAGCTCCGCCGGCGGGCACTGGCTGTGGAGTCCATTCACCCTGCACAAGACGCCCAGATTAAATCATTTCAGACTCAGTCCACATCCTAGCAGCACTTTCTCCCCAACATCAAAGCATACTTGTCTCTTCAATAAAAACATACAAAAATAAAGCCCAAGAAACACTTTCTCCAACTACTTCTTTTTCTCTTCAGAGACAGATTTTTTGAGAAACCAGTATTGGACGTGGTACTTGGTATTGCTCTTCCCTCTGACCTCATGTTCACTGCTCCCCCATCATGTCTGTCTTACACAACGTTACTGAAAACGCACTTGCAAAGGCCACCTGTGAATTCCTAAGTGCAGAGTTGTTCAATCCAATGGACACACTTCATTTTTATCTTACTGGTGCTTTGTGGAGCCTGGGACATTAAACTCCTTGGAACTGTTTCCCTTCCTGGCTTCTACAATTCTGCTCCTTCCTACTTTCCTCATTACCTGTCTGATTGTTTTTTCTCTGTCTCCTTTGCGTACTTCTCCGCAGGTCAGTTCTTAACTCTTGGTGTTCCAGGGGGTGACATTCTTCCTGTTTCTCTGCCCTGACCTTTCCTCGGTTGGCTTGCTACCAACATTTGACAGTCCCTGCTTCCAGTCTTGATCCTTGTTTCACACTTTCAGTTTAAATCAGCCCTGGAGTGATGTTTCAGAAATGCAAATGTGATCAGGCTGTTCTCTCGCTTAAAATCCTTCAAGGGCTGCCCACCGCTTTTATGATAAAATCCAAAGTGGCACCTCCACCCCACTCTCATCACTCCAGTTTCCTGTGCTGGACTGCTTGAGGGAAGACGGCTAGAGTAATAGTTTAATCTCTAGCTATTTCATGCTTGGCTTCACTTTACTGAGGCTGCCAATTAATGATTTAGAGGTGAACTCTTCTGTACTCTGCTGTGAACTGAGGCTTGTTTTGAGTCCTTGAAGAGCCTTTGGCCTTGTTGTCACTCAAACCGGCATTGACTTGAACTTCTGACCTAAAGCTGAACACGTGCATAGCCTATTGGCCATCCTCTGAGTCAGGAAAGCAAGCTTTGAATGTGCTTTGGTTATGTTTCAGTCCAATTTGGTCTAAATTAAGAAATGTATTTTCAACTTGATAGTGTTTTAAATGTAGTATGTTCAGACATAGGTGGTAGTGTTGTGTTTTTTTTTTTTTCCTCCCCTTCTACTCGCCCTCTTATAATTGCTTTTCAGAGGAGTGAGTAGATCTTCTCAACTCTACTGACTTTTATAAAATGGGAGATGAACTCCTGCATTTTCTTGTCTTGTCATCTGTCTTTTTCTAGTTTTAGCAATGGAAAGTAACAACAGCTGGATGTGATCATATCAGCAGGAAACATCCTAGCTTCTGGCTGATTCACAAATTGCCCCTGTCTTGCTTGCCATTTCAAATAGAGGGACAGAATACTGAATGGACAAGAAAATTAAAGGGGCTGCACACACACATACACATGCACACATTCTACTTATAAAGAAAAATCAGTGAATCAAGAAAGGAATTATACATACTATAGACCCACACAGGAAAAAATATTTTAAAAGGGATTCATAAAGATTAGATATGGAGAAACAGAAAGGGGGAACCTGCTTTCTTGTGGAAAAAAATCATTTTTTAAAAAATATTAATAAATTGCTTTTTCAGCTGATAAATATGGCTTACATAAAATAGCCTAAAAAGTCGACAACCAAGACAGTTATCAAGGCAAACTTTCTCCTCTTTACCTGTTAGTCTTGTCTGCAGCCTGAAAGAAATCATGATTGTCAAGGGGGAAAATCAACATTATGCGTCTTACACAAGGATGTCCTCTACCAGGGTGTGGAGGGCACTGGGATTGCGGATCAGTTTGTCAAGGAAGCTGACAATGTCAGTAAATTTTGGTCTGTGATTTCTCTCCTTCTGCCAGCAGTGGAGCATCAGCTGGTGTAGAGATGCCGGACAGCCCATGGGAGCCGGGAGTCTGTAACCTTCTTCAATGGACAGGATGACCTAAATGCAAACACACAGTTATCCTCTTACTTCTGGGGACAAACAATACATACACTAAGTTATAATTCCTTTTATACAGGAAGTGGAAGCTAAAACATTGGTAAGCATGAAAACTACTTGTGAGTGCAGGTAGTCTAGACAAGGATAAATACAAAAATTGTGAACAAGAATTACAAGCATCTTAGTAGCATCTGCTGACTCCTCTTGAGAGGAAAAATATGTTTTTTAAACTTGTGGTATAGAGATGAGATGTTAAATTTCATCACAATGTCCAGAAATAGTTTTTGTGTGATTTAGCTGGAATGTCTCAAAACCCAATTAGGACATCAGAAAGGCAGCCTAATATGGATTTAGTAAAAAACCATATGTGACAAATGTTTTAGTAAAACTGTACTTCTGCTGAATTCCTGAATCACTTTTTATTCTTTTATAATAGTGTCAGTGCATATTTTTGCAGCCATCCTTCCTTCTTTCTTCTTTATTTGCCATTTAATTCCTCTTCACTTACTTCTGGCTTTCCCCTAGTCTCACACTGACATGATTATGAAGTCCTTCCAGAATTTCTAAGGTCATTTAGTCTTTGAAATGCTATCAGTGTTCAGTTTAAGACCACAGAGCAACAGGACATTTAGCCTGAGTATCCTCTGGGCTAGCACTCTCTAACAGAACTTTCCATGATGACAGAAATACTCCCTCTGTTCAATGTGGTAGCAAGTGGTCACGTGGCTACTGAGCACTTGAAATGTGGCTAGTAAAAGTGAGGAGCTGAATTTTACTTCCAGTTAATTTTAATTAACGGACCTTACATTTTAAATAGCCACAGGGGCAAGTGGTTACTATATGGGACAAAGCAGCCCTAGGGAAAGGAATCTCTGTAAAGCCAAAGTTAAGAGTAACAACAAGATGACAATAATTTTATTTTATTTTTTTTGGTACTTAAGAAATCACATACAAATAAGGTAAGATATTTACTGTTTATCTGTTTAATATATAACCCACTGGAATTTCCTAATCATGCAGTAAAATTGACCTGGAATTTATGTAGTTTATTTTTAAATGAAGAGTTCAAAAGAATTCATGTAACTATTCTTACATTATCTCTGGAAGAAAGACAAAAAAAGGGTTCATTTTTGTATTTTTGATGGAAAATTGAGGGACAGACTGATATTTAAAGAGAAGCAATCTCACCTCTTCCCCATGCCAACAACAAAAATACAAAAATGCAAATGTAAATACTGTTATCAGTGCTCTCTTTATTGTAGCACCCTCTATGCATTTTCACTTTCTATAATTAAAAAATAAACTCATTTTCTTTTTTATGTGACACCATATGACATGACTCTAAGATATCAATAATTTATGCTAGAAGTAGTCTGTAAAAAGAAGCAATAATAGGCTGCAGGAATCTCCTCTTAACTGCTAAGCTTAGCTTTTTAGTAAAAGGGAATTTTTCATAATCCCATCAGTGTCTTCGTGACCAGAACACTTTAACCTATCAGAATACTAGATTTTTTTCCTGTTCATTTTATATCTATTATTAAATATGATGTTTTTTCTTATCTGCTTTCTGACTATTTTTGCTACTGACTAGGCCTGAATTTTAACACATTTTGCAACACATTTTAGTAAAACAGGGTATGTATAAAAATGCTTGTAATGCACCAAAACTACTGTGGATAGCTTTAAAAAGTATCTAAGAAAAATAGGATAGAATTCCATTATAGAAAGACTTTAAAATCCCACCCCAGGAGACCTCTCTAGGTAATTTCAGAGTTACCTAATTATAAGTGCATAGAATAGATGACAAGTGAAGTTATAGTCTGAGAAAAAAATTAGCTGCCTTTATTAAGCATCATGTGCTAAATGCTTTGCATATTTTTTTTATTTACTGCTTAAAATAACTCAGTATGGTAGTTATTATTATCCCTATTCTTAAATGAGGAAATTTAGACTCAGATAAGTTAGGAAACTTGCCTAAATTCACACAGCATAGGCAGCAGAGTTGAAATATGAACTTAGTTCCTTACAGCTTCCAAACTTGTCCTCTGCCTATTCCCCAGGAATGCTTTTCAATTCTCATGAAAATGTCTTCCTCTCCTGTTTTTTTTTTTCCCCTCCCCTGTTTTATATCAATTGTTTTATATCAATTTTAGGAGTGATGGTTACCATTTTATCTTTTGTTGTATATCTGCTAACTGGACTTCAAATCCAATCCTAAGTTTTATAATAAGGATAAATCAAAAACATATTTACTTCATAGTTTGCAAAATGTAATCCCTGGCTGAACAGAGTAGTTTCTGAATGCTTCTGAGTCCTGTACACATTTCTATTATTGCATTTATTACACTGTTTTATAATTTTTCACCTGCTTCCGCTCAGGTGAAATACACTTGAAAGCAGGAATTTCATCTCTATATTTTTGTATATTTATCCCTAATTATGGTACCTGATGCATTAATAAATGTTATTGACCCAAACAAAGGCTATTAGAGGAAATTTTGGGGTTTGTCTTGATATAGGAGCAGATTCTTAGAAAATCTAGAGTTTCAACCACCCAAGAGGGATTCAAAGCAGAAGCAAGTCAGCATTTGAAGTGCCTCAGAAAAAAATAATCATAAAAAATTGGGACATCAAGCAGTATTGTTCAAAATGATCTCCTGATTTCTCTCTGGTTTGGCTGGACAATAAGCCAAGTGAGACTGGGCCATGTTCTTCTCTAAGACAAAGGCACTGGACCCAAAGTCAGATTCCTGTAAAGACTGGTGGCTTTTTCCTCCTGTCCAGAAGGTTTACTGTTTCCCATGACCCAGACATCCTTAGCTGCTGGAGAGCTGACTTTTCCAGACAACTCCTGTAAACAGTTGACACCCAAATCCAGATTGTCTGGTGCCAAGCAAGCTGTCTATTCTCTTTTGACAAAGTTCTCATGAGTATCCTGTAGGAAGAGACAGTGACAAGAAAGTGGGGTCCTTCACCTGGAACCTTTATCCACAATGTGCTCAGCAAGTGTCTAATCCCACCATGCCTTTCCGTGAGGATACTGGGCGACGTGGGGACTCATGACATTTCTCCTTGCTAACCTCTAAGTTTAAAGCTCTCCCTGTTCTTTAACTTGTGACTTTGTGACATTTGTCCTGAGCCCTGGCTCATGACAGATGTCAATCATGAAGGTCCCACCTTACAGGAAGTGCTAATAACAACAACAGTGACAATAATAATTACTAACAATATTGAGAGCTCTTGACTACTTCCAGGTGCCATTTCTAAGTGATCTACATGTGTCAACTCTTTTAATCCTCATAGTAATATTATGTGGTAGGTACTATTTTTATCCCCAGTTTACAGACAAGGAACGTAAACACAGAGAAGTTCAACTGGCAAACACTACACACCTAAAAATTTTGAATTAGAAGGGAGCTAGAGAAGAGACTTGAGCAATATGATTCACAAAATGGTTAAAATGTACAACATATTTCTAATGGATTTTTTATTTGTCCAAAGAGATAAAGACTCATCACTTAAAATGTGCTGTTAAACATACCATGTATAAGGGATAGCATAATGAGTAAGAAACATCTCTGTCTTTAGGAAATGTATAATCTAGTGAAGGTGACCAAAGAGTCTGCATATGGAACATGCCATGTAGAACAGGGAGTCATGGAAACTTGTCAGAAGAGTACCTGTCTGAGCCTCTGGGAGAGGACACCGCCTGAATGTAGAAGGTAGCAGGGTCCATTAGATTAGATGGCTTAAAGCTCAGCATTCAGAAAATGAAGACCATGGCATCTGGTCCCATCACCTCATGGGAAATAGATGGGGAGACAGTGGAAACAGTGTCAGACTTTATTTTTTGGGGCTCCAAAATCACTGCAGATGGTGATTGCAGACATGAAATTAAAAGACGCTTACTCCTTGGAAGGAAAGTTAAGACCAACCTAGATAGCATATTAAAAAGCAGAGACATTACTTTGCCAACATAGGTTGGTCTAGTTAAGGCTATAGTTTCTCCAGTGGTCATGTATGGATGTGAGAGTTGGACTGTGAAGAAAGCTGAGTGCTAAATAATCGATGCTTTTAAACTGTGGTGTTGGAGAAGACTCTTGAGAGTCCCTTGGACTGCAAGGAGATCCAACCAGTCCATCCTAAAGGAGATCAGTCCTGGGTGTTCATTGGAAGGACTGATGCTGAAGCTGAAACTCCAGTACTTTGGCCACCTCACGTGAAGAGTTGACTCATTGGAAAAGACCCTGATGCTGGGAGGGATAGGGGGCAGGAGGAGAAGGGGACAACAGAGGATGAGATGGCTGGATGGCATCACCGACTCGATGGACATGAGTTTGAGTAAACTCTGTGAGTTGGTGATGGACAGGGAGGCCTGGCGTGCTGCGGTTCATGGGGTCGCAAAGAGTCGGACATGACTGAGCGACTGAAGTGAACTGAACTGAAGAGAGATGTGATCTAATTATGGAATTAACGTAGATTTCTGTAACTAGACCAGATTCTTCAAAGAGAAGAATGGTGAGGTTTGAGGCTGGAAGGTTACGTAAAAACTGTTTCTTGAGATCATGAATGATTTTGCATGCTATAAACACAGACTTTATGCAAAGGGGAGAAGGGTTTTGGCAAGTAGATGGTATTAGATTCACCTGTTGGAAGCTCACTCTGGCTGCATTATGAAGAGTGGGACGATAGGGAAGGCCAGGAAGGAGGCTTGCAGTGATCCAGGCAAGAAGTCAGGATAGCCTTAGTTGAAGCAGAGGCCGTGGGGTGCAAGCATTAGATTGATTTGACAGGAATGTAGGACTGGGGTGAGCTTAGATAGGGAAGTAGAGGGAGAAGAGAAGATTGACTTCTAGGGTTTTGGCTTGGTCAAGGAAACAAAGGAGGGGGTGCAATTTTGGGGCTGGAGTGACCATGAATTAAATTTTCTATGAGCTTTCTGGTTTCTGATTCAAGTAACATATGAAACTTTGAGAGCTTATTATATGTCACTTTCTGGG